TTCATCTACTGTCTCTCTCTCACCGTAAGGGGGCGGTGGGGTAGCCTAGTGGTTAAAGTGTTGGCTCGTCACGTCGAAGGCCCGGGTTCGAGTCCCCACATAGGTACGTGTGAAGCTCATTTTCAGGTGTCCCCCGCTGTGATATTGCTGAAAGCGGCGTAAAACCATACTCACTCAATATCTCTTACCGTAGGCCAATAAGCCTTGTGATTCACAGCATTTGGCACGTTTGTACTCTCAGCATGATCTGGGCTTGAGTTTTATCACACATATGGGTAAACTGTGTGATTGACTCAATAGTTGCTTTAGGCAACGTCCACCTATTAATTACCCTACAATACCCCCCCCCCCCCCCCTTCACCCACCCCTACCCTCAACACAGAGGCTGAGGGTGTGGCAGCTGATGACAGCCCTCGTGACCGGAAGTTGGACACTGAGACTCTGAAGAGCTCTGAATGACAGTGACTGGCACGTTTGAAATCTCATCCCTGATCTCAGCCTTCGTTGGATGAAGCTTGCCGATTAACTTACTAGTTAGCGGTCCTTTGGGGAAGATACTGATTTAACCTGTCAATCATGGATAACTAATACCAGGCAACGTATTCGTGTGATTTGCTGAGTAAAAGTGTTTTATACATGGAGTAAACTGGCATCTTATCTCCGACATCTGACGGCTGCTGCATTTTTGGAAACCGGTACTATCGGACGGGGTATTACTTACTGCTCGTATCGTTCCAGGATATCTTTCTTAGTAAACATATGCATTGCCTTAACTCGCCCCGAAATGAGAACGAATGAGGAAGTATGTAGAGCACCTTTAGTGCGATTTTAGTTTTGAAGAATGTCATTGAAGCCATATTGTGATGGACAAACCACATGTCATTGAAGCTATAATGTGAAGGGTAACCTACCTGTTTCATTGAAGCCATATTGTAATGGACAATACACCTGTCATTTAAGCCACATTGTGAAGGGTAACCTACCTGTTTCATTGAAGCCATATTGTAATACACAACATGCATGTGTCATTGAAGCCAAATTGTGATGGTCAACTTACCTCTGTCATTGCAGCCAAATTGTGATGGGCAACATAACTGTGTCGTTGAAGCCATATTGTAAAACACAATTTTCCTGTGTCATTGAAGCCATATTGTGATGGACAACTTACCTGTGGCACTGAAGCCATATTGTGATGGGCAACTTACCTGTGTCATTAAGGTCACATTGTGATGGACAACATAACTGTGTCATTGAAGCCATATTGTGATGGACAACATACCTGTGGCATTGAAGCCATATTGTGATGGGCAACATACCTGTGTTATTGAAGCTATATTGTGATGGAGAACATACCTATGTCATTGAAGTCATATTGTGATGGACAACATACCTGTGTTATTGAAGCCATATTGTGATGGGCAACATACCTGTGGTATTGAAGCCATATTTTGATTGGCAACTTACCTGTGTCATTGAAGCCATATTGTGATGGGCAACATACCTGTGTTATTGAAGCCATATTGTGATGGAGAACATACCTATGTTCTTGAAGCCATATTGTGATGCGCAACATACATATGTTCTTGAAGCAATATTGTGATGGACAACATACCTGTGGTATTGAAACCATATTGTGATGGGCAACTTACCTGTGTCATTGAAGCCATATTGTGATGGAGAACATACCTATGTCATTGAAGCCATATTGTGATGGAGAACATACCTATGTTATTGAAGCCATATTGTGATGCGCAACATACATATGTTCTTGAAGCAATATTGTGATGGACAACAAAACTGTGTCATTGAAGCCATATTGTGATGGACAACATAACTGTGTCATTGAAGCCATATTGTGATGGACAATATACCTATGTAATTGAAGCCATATTGTGACGGGCAACTTACCTTTGTCATTGAAGCCATATTGTGATGGGCAACTTACCTGTGTCATTGAAGCCATATTGTGATGGGCAGCTTAGCTATGTCAGTGAAGCCATATTGTGATGAACAACATACCTATGTTATTGAAGCCATATTGTGACAGGCAACATACCTGTGTTATTGAAGCCATATTGTGATGGACAACAAACCTGTGTTGATGAAGCCATATTGTGATGGAGAACATACCTATGTCATTGAAGCCATATTGTGATGGACAGCATACCTACGTTCTTGAAGCCATATTGTGATGGACAACATAACTGTGTCATTGAAGCCATATTGTGATGGACAACATGCCTATGTTTTTTAAGCCATATTGTAATGGACAACATACCTATGTTCTTGAAGCCATATTGTGATGGACAACATAACTGTGTCATTGAAGCCATATTGTGATGGACAACATACATATGTAATTGAAGCCATAATGTGATTGGCAACTTACCTGTGTCATTGAAGCCATATTGTGATGGGCAGGGTCCGTATATGGTGGTATTGGATCTGGTAGCTGGCCAGCATTGGTATCGGTCCCATGTGGGAGGACAGTATTGTGTGCCTGGGAATAAATGATAGGTACATCTTAATTGCCATCTGCATTAACAGCGGACATTTCAGAACGCGGTGATTGTATACGCAAATCTATGAATAATAACATATTGCAATTGACATATCATTATATCTACGTACGTATATTAACATGAATTGTTCGTATGAAAATATTTCCAAATGAAATAAGATCGTATCTTCACAATCAGTTCAGTAACATTGCGGCTGGATATTTTTTAACATTTTACTAATGAAACAGACCGAGATTGTATCATTACAACCTGTATGGCAGTACAGCGACTGAATGCAAATTTCTGCTATCTCACTTGAAAATATGACGCACGACTTTCGGGGTTCGTGTACGTTCCCTCCAGTGGTGAATATGAACGTCCTTTCAAACCAGTTATACATAATGATTATTCCCGTGTTTGCAAGAATGATGATCCACATTTAATGATAAATTATTCATATGTCTTCAGTTGATGAAGACACTAATAAACGCTAGTTGGGAACCCACAGAGAGCAAAGGAAAGGATGGTGTTCATGTTTGTGACAACTCTCAAAGTATTGTACTCTTTTCTCCTCGAGAAGCATGACGCCCATTTCAAATGTTCCCCGCTTTAAAATATATTGCTGGAATATCACTCACTCACTCATCCTCACACACTCACTCACACGGGACGGTCGGGTAGCCTAGTAGTTAAAGCGTTCGTTCGTCACGCCGAAGACCCGGGTTCGATTCCCGACATGGGTACAATGTGTGAAGCCCAATTCTGGTGTCCCCCGTCGTGATCTTGCTGCAATATTGCTTAAAACGGCGTAAAACCATACTCACTCACTCACTCACTCAACTTTTCATCCTTTGCAGCTAACGCTACACTAACATCGATCAGAACGAAATATTTGAGTGATTACGAGTTTTGTTTTGTTTCAGTTTAACGCACGCGATTAGCTTTTTCTGTTGCGCTGCTTCTCACAAGGATAATACAGATTGTTTGTCAAGAAAACATTGTTAACCAGACAGGTGGCATTGGGCCCATCCCCCCTACACTAGCAACGTGTCTTGGTATCCAGAATGCCGGCAACGCTCACGGTATTGTCGCACACTTTGCACTTTCCAGAATAGCAACTGACAACAACACATCACCGACCTGTGTACATAGCATTGTTTCCTGCTGGTGGATATTTCTGAGAGAGGGAGAGAGATAAGAAAGGAAGCGCTGAACCATTATTACCCCGGTCAGTGTATCAGTGTGCCCTCGGTTTTCATTCTCAGCTCCCTGGGGAGTATACAACCCAAGGAGCCTGTGAGGCGCTCGGGGGTTAACAGTCACATTACCATCTCATCCTACCGGGTACCCATTCACTGCTGGGTGAACAAAGTACCTTTACTAAGCAGACACCACACGTAACATGCTTTTCAGTAAAGGGGCAAGAACGAAGCTCTAGAAACTCATGAGTCAAGCGCCCGAATACGGCCACCCATCCACCTGCACCCCACCGCCATGCTGGTACTCGAGGGTAGCCAACAGTTTTGAGGCTAGCATACAACGAACTAAAATATATCGTAGCGCTGAGGTGATCGTAACTCCCATACCTTAACACAGACTTACGACAGTCGTCACGCTAAGGTGATCGTAACTCCCATACCTTAACATGGACTTACGACAGTCGTAGCGCTAAGGTGATCGTAACTCCCGTACCTTAACATAGACCTACGACAGTCGAAGTTAAAGGTTATTTTGTCCAACGTCACCCAGGTCAAGTGAATAAGATCGACGGGGAAGATGCTCGTATCCACATTCCCGTGCAGCAGCCACTGCAACATGACTGGTGTGAACTAAGGCAGTGTTCTGAAGGAGAACAACAGATCCACGCTTCCCTTTGACAGACTCGCGCAAACATTTCAAACTATTATGCATTATGTGTCCCAAAAGAAGGTGTCCATGACCTTTAGTGGATCAGCCTAGGTTAAACTTTCTTCATCTTCCCGAGTCAAGGGCGTTAACTGACTATAACAGTCCAGTTTCTACCCTTGCCGAACTAGGCTGGAATTCCGGAGTTACATTTTGGCTTGACTAACGAGTCTGTGCATAGTCCAATCAAAATCGCTTAACGAAATAGACATCCGGTTCGTAAACAACATGGAGTTCAACGTGCAGATTTCGGTCGACTGCAGGATTTTCAAAGCATGTGTACCGTCAATAAGTCGTCGACAGATATTTTGCAAATCTTTTCATGTTCTAAATCAAGGTGCTAAAGTAATTTGATGCACTTCGCGGGTAAGACCCGTTTTATTACAATATAGATCTTGATGATCGATCAGATCGTCTTGAGAGGGCTCGGCCATTTTGTTTAAAGCCAATGCAAGTGATATGAGAGATGGAATCTGATTGGTCAATAGGAGGAATATAGATGGGACATAACTTGTAATAGCCATTTGTGGCGCTACGATCGAGCCTGGAAATTCCAGCGTAGTTCGGCAAGGGTGTGAACTGGACTTTTATAGTCAGTTAACGCCCTTGTCTCGGGAAGATGGAAGCCGTGGGTTTCCACTCCATGGCTTCTTGTTCGCCCTCGGGATCATAGTGATGGATCCAGGTCTCATCAATGTCACAAGCCCAGAAGGAACATCTTCAGAGTTGCGATCACATCTGGTTAACGGGGGTGACTCGTGTATCAGAGGTGTTGACCCTCGTAGCCTTCATTTAATCACAAATCATTCTAGGAACCCACCGTCCATAAACCTTTGGCATGTGTAGATACTCATGAAGGATTGTTTCTGTAGACCCGTGCGAGGAGCTTGTGGTCTCCTCGGACTCATGGAGTGAAAAGCGCCTATTGTTCAGTGCCAGGTTGTAGATGGCATCAATGTTTTCTTTCGTGGTACTGGTGGTGGGTCGACCCGAACGGGGCTATCTTCCAAACTATCTCTCCTTCGACAAACACCCTTCGCCCAACGTTAAATTGTGGCATATGATGTGTCAGCCTCCCAATCAACAGCATGCATTTGCTCACAGCTTTCGTTGATAATTGGCTCCCTAGGGAAAATAATTTGATGACAATGCTCAATTTTGTCCATTTCGATGCGAAAGAGTAGGGTACCTCAGCGTCGAAGTAATTTATCAACAAGTCACTGGACTGAAGCACTCCGAATTGAGAAACAACAAACACGGTCAATACTACCATATGTCCCATGTAAACATAAGGTGAGGTGAGGTGAAATGGGGTTTAACGTCGCGTCCAAGATTATGCACTTATATAGCGACGTGCATGTACGTGTGTGTGTTTGTGTGGCTGCTTGTACTAGTCCGGACTGATGCCGATTTATAGTGCTAGCTCACTGAGATACCATGTCGCAGTTTAACATGAATACCCCACAGTATACTGACTCCGAGCCGACCAGTCCTTGTTTTAGCCCCTTAATGCTGAGCGCCAGACAGGGTAACATCAAGTACCATATTTTAACGTCTTTTGGAATGACGCGGCCGGGGATCGAACCCCGGACCTTCCGCTCTCCGGGCGGACGCTCTACCACTAGACCACGGAGGCGGTGTGTAAACATAACAACCATGATATGCCAAGCTAGGCACCTTCTGATATCCTCCACCTCGTCTAGGGTGAGGTGAGGTGACTTGGGGTTTAAAGTCGCGTTCAAGATTATTGCACTTATATTGAGACGAGTATGCACGTGTCTGCTTGTACTGGTCCGGACTCGCCCACCATGCCGCAGTTCAACATGAATACCAAACTCAGACACAGTATACTGACTCCGAGTCGACCAGTCCTTGTTTTATCCACCCAATGCAGGCAGGGTAACAACAAGTACAATCGTTAACGTCTTTTGGTATGAGGCGGCCGCGAATCGAACCGCCGACCTTTCCCCCTCCCTGAAAACGCTCTACCACTAGCCCACGGAGGCGTTCGCCTCGTATGGAGTCCCTCCACAATCTGCAGTCGGATTCGACATCCAATAGCTTACACAAAACTTGACACATTTACGTCAGTTGCACATATTCGCGAGTGACTTATACCTTTATTGAAGGACATTCTTTTTCGATTATCTAGCAAAATCATTTAAACAACATCGCGTTCGTATATACTGGAGGCAATGAGACCTATGCTTACTGGGACGCCATCTCGGACTATTGACGTCATTCTTTAACTTCTTTTTGTGATTAAACGTTTTTGGCACTATATCTTTGTTGACATGATACTGCTCGGTTTATGACTTAACACTTGACCTCAATCAAGAAGCCAGCACTTCCTTTGCTTGCAGCCTTTGGTGTTTCTAAATCCGACCGGTAGACATGCGCAGTCACCCGGAAAACAAACCACGGATGAAGGAATGATACACATTTGTTTCATAATTCATAGGTAAGCATGACAATCCGAAATACAACGTAGTTCGCTTCACGTGTGAAAAAGGAATTTCTACATCCAGTTTCTTATCGCGTTCAATCGACCTACTTTTCAAGATGGCGGATTTCGCGGAAGGTTAGAGTGAATACCTATCATATGTTTCTCCTGCCCTAGAGATACGCACACTATGTAAGCAAATGTCGTCTATAAACAACTCCCCGCTTTGTAAAATGCCCTCGTAGGCTTACATTATGAAGCGATCAGGGATCTGCCACAGCTAATCAACCAGCTCATTGTTGCAGCATTGGCCTGATTCTCGGACGCCCCAACGCCCGTATCCAATCACGATGTTTATCTGTTTTTTTCAAAAGTTAACTTTCATGGTCATTGCGACCAGTTCCCTTGATTTGAATAGTATGAGTGAGTGAGTGAGTGAGTGAGTGTGTGGGTGTGTGGGTGAGTGAGGGCGTGTGTGTGTGTGCGTGCGTGCGTGCGTGCGTGAGTGAGTGAGTGAGTGAGTGAGTGAGTGAGTGAGTGAGTGAATGAGTGAGTTGAAAGGCCCTTTGAACAGTATGAACTTGTTGTGGAAGAAGTGATGCATTGCCTTGACGTTTACTATTTTGGTGGATACATCATCAAGGCGAACCG